AATGGTTTTAAGTGCCGTTTCCTGTTGTAACGTGCACCAAGCCACATAAGGTGCCTTCTCCTGCAAGCAACAGGCATTTGTGAAGAAGTTGTATTGATTCAGAGAGTTTTAAGGTAGCCAGTGGAGGAAAACAAAGGATACTACTATTGAAAACAAGTATTTCCAGTATCATTTTCATTGCTTACTACCTAATCTACCATTCTGTTATGCAGACAAGTTTTTGTTTTGTAGAACACAGTCACGTATTCATACTTTTTGAAGCCTGAAATATATCTTTAAAAACACATTTCCTTCTAATCTGAAAGTTTTTTTTTTTTTTTGAAAAGACAACCTCTCAGGTAGTATTGTTTTATCAGACAGTTTGGCTGATCTGCTGAGGATTTAACTTACTATTCATATTGCACAAGGCATTTTCTTTTATGTATGATGTGTGTGTGTGTGTGTGTGAGTGCGTACGTTAGAATAACATAGGCTCCTGACTTCTCTTATCTCTTTCTTTTCTTGTCAAGTTGTTCATTTACTACTATATGTCCCTAAGGAGCTAGACTACTTAGTTTCATTTGATTGGATTTTAAAATCTAGTTGATGAATTGGGTCCGTTGAGATGCACCTCTGATGCCACATGAATGCTACAGAAAGTGCTGGGGCTGTAAAGAGATGTACCCAGGTAATTCCGTTTTCAAAGTCTGCTCCTGAAAACACACTAGATGTTACCTGAACAAGTGAAGAAATATGTAATGTAATTATTGTTTCTAGGATGTTTTCCCCAATAATGGCATTCAAATATCTTCTTTAAAGTCAAGCCCATATTTATACGCTCCTCTGTTTTAGCCAGAGGAGGAAGGGATGTGGACAGAATATGTAGAGTTGGTAAAACCAAGTCATTTTTAGTGAACAATCATTAGATTAGTTAGTTGTGTTCTGAAGAAAAAGTATGCAGTTAGTATTCCTGAATTCACATGCTTTGTGCTGTACCATGGTCGATACTGCTTGACTTGTGACAAACCATAAACTTTCTCTATTTTCCCATAGCCAAATATCAATCTAGATTATAAATGCCACAAAAGCAAAATTTGCACCCAAGTATGGACTCAGCAATCACTGTGAACAGGAGTTGTCTTTAGAAAGTAGATCTTGGATTAGATTTTGCAGCTTGACTAGGGGTTATTTGCAGGCTTCGATATCTACATAACCTAAATAATATAGAAAAATATTCTAAATATATTGCATTAAAGCCATGCATTAACCTGTATAGCTGACTTAGAATGTAATAGTTGGTTTGCTTTGGTTTCATTATTTGCTTCAATAATTTAAACTGTTGGAAAAAAAAAACAACACTGCTGGAAAATTTACAGGCACAAAAAGTAGCATTTTTGCAAGTAGAGTCCATCAAAATGATTAACAGAAGAAATTAGGGTGCACATAGAAATGAAAGCTAATGTAATATTTTTCAAAAAATAAATAAGAGGTGGGAGAAGGATGGGATACAGGATGACTCCCTGAGACTGAATCCCTATCAGCAGTATTATGATTCCAGCATAATCCATCTGGTTACTTCCATGCCTTCTGTGGGCAAAGCACTGGCAGCTCCCAAGGCAGGGTGGTCCAGTTTCTTGGACCCTGGACACCAGATTACATTAGCAGCTTTTTGTCAAGGTAGAATGGACAAATACATCCTACGGTGTTGTTGGGCCAGAAAGAGTTGTCTCCCTGCTGCTAATTAGGCAGTAGGAGTTTAAGATACCCTTAACCAAAATGCTTCAGAAGGAAGCAATGCAGCTGAGCAAAAAAAGAATGGTGGGCAACTGAGGAAATAAGAAGACAATACAAAGGTAGGAGAATGGAGTATGGGAATGGAGTATGGAAATGGATGACTCAAAGCAGACATCCTATGGAATTGGCTCTGAAGCCTCTTCGAGCAATGTATGATTCTTGGTAAACTGAACCTCCAAAAAGATCCTACAACTCAACCTCCAAAAAGATCCTACGAGTTGTTTGCCTTGTAAGACAAGTCTATTAGATACGTCTAACAATAGATAAGTGTATTAGGGGTTGCAGAAATTTGCACAAAAAATGGTTGTTAAATCCTTTTTGCAGGACTAATGGGAAATTTTGCTCTCTTCTAATGGTGAGATTGTTCTAGTGAAAAGTGATCCTATGAGATACTTTTTTTTTTTTTTTGCTTATATTTTTGTCTGGAGATATGACAGTAAATGTTTCTTTCCAATTGTCAAAACTGCTGAGCATAAATATAGAACTAGATTTTTCAGAAACGTTTGTGATACAGAAGAACTGACTGGTTTCGCTTATCCAGAAATTTCCTTTTACATTATTTAAGACTCTTCTCTTGCATATTTTTTTCCTTCATTACGACATTTGTCAGAAAATCTGCTATCATAGTTTAGTAGTGAAGAGACAGAGATGTAGGCACAGAAAGGAAGGTATATGGAAACAAAAAAATCCTGTTTCCTCCCTTGCTTCTGTCTTCCTTTCTTTGTCTTTTCCTTTCGTATCATCCTATTTTTAAACTACCAAATACTGTCTTTACTTGTGATATCATCACTTAATGTAAGTGGTGTAAACAATTCTGGAACAATGCAGAAAAATAATTTCTAAAGGTAGAAGATTGTTCTGGCATGTTTAAAGAGGACTTATATCTTGTCAAGAGAATAGGACACTGAAACTTGAGGATATTCTTCTTGTTCATAAAAGAAAAAAGATGTCAAGGCTTGTTCACAAGTTGATTAACTTGATATTTAATGTATTTCCTTAAAAAAAGGAAATACATTATAAGGAAGAAAACTATGAAAGCAATTGAAATAAATTATGAAGGTAGATATAACCTTCTGCAGTGGGATATTGAAAGTAATCCTATGAAAATATTGATTAGATTTTCCAAAGTGGAGAAGTAGATCTCTTTCTGGGAAAAAGAAATGTCTTTTTGTTATAGGTGTAAAAAAAAAAAAACAAAAACAAAAAAAACCCTTTTTCTCTTGGAAACTTTTAAGCATGGCAAAAAACCCTTAGGGAGATGGGATAAGAATGGCCAAGGAGAGCTTTTTCTGCCAGTCCGTGTGTTTTCAGAGGCTGAAGAGAGCCCTGCGTCGTGTTATGTCACGCCGCGTACGAGCTCACGGGCCCAGCTTTTGTTTGAGCCCAGCCCGGCCCCTGTATGCAAACGCAGACCCGTGATGTAGTGTTGGTTTCCGTCTGAGAGATCCATACCAGTGCTATCTCCATAACCACATGAGAGACGAACGGTCCAGGTGTTGCCATTTCTGAGTCTGGGACAGGTGGTGTCCAGTGATACTCTCCTAGGCCCCAGCTATCGTCTTTTATGTCCTCTCATTAAAAGCAATAGAACTACTACTATGCCTAAGTGTAGGGTTGTTTAAAATCTGAAGTCCAAAATATAGAAATTACCTAGCTGAAATTACAGCTGTATGATATAGGTGCGATAAAAGTCTTACTGAAGTTTAAGAAGTTGATCTGAAACTTTTCAGAGAAACAGACTTTAGCTTAGAATTCCTACTTGGATCTATTTTTGTCACCCTCCTTGAGCAGCCTTTCTTTGGACAATACAGAACCACCTTCTTATTCCTTTGATAGGAAGAAAGATTCATTTGAAAAAAGAAAAAAATTAAAGTCTTGTTTCATTGCCAAGGACAAGCCACAGTGGGCAAAAAATTCCTTAAGAGCTATTGTATGTCATATCCCTCACTGAAATAATGTTTTGAGCAGAATCTCATAAATCCCTTTATTATCTCTCTATCAACACTAAAAGCAGACACTGTTAAAATCATTCTTTCTATGTTTAGTTTCTATAGCTAGGTAATGTAATTTATAATGTTATGTACAGGGAAATAAGGCATGAAAATACAGATTTTCAAGAAGTTTTGAGGTAGATAAATTTGACCAGATGATGATGGCACGTCTTATTTTCTAAGTTAGCTTCTCCTTTTCTCTCCTCTCTTTTGCTATATTTACATCACATTCCTGAAATGCACTGCTTAATATTTTCTTTTCATTTATTATTGAAGAAAAATAAATGCTCACTAATAGTTTTAGATTCGGGTAAACAAGATCTTACAAACTGCAGGGTTTAAGTTCATTGCTATTAATGTTGTAATCTAGTTGGCTTGAATTGGAAACAAGGATGACTTTTATGATATCTATTGCAAAACTCTTTGATACGGATATATATTGTGGATGCCTATAATCTTTTAAAGCCATGCAGCGAAAGAACTTTTCATAAGCTTAATTTTAAGCCTACAAGAGCCTTAAAGAAGTTAAAATGTTTAACTTAAACATACTCCAGAACACTGAGTGTTCGTGATCCTCCTGTTAGCCTAAAATAATCTTGGTATGTTCAAGTTTTGTTACATACTGGAACTATGCATAAAATTAACTGACTTTGTCTTCTGTGTCTACAGCAGACAAGAACAATTCAGTGTATTTTTGTCAGAAAATGATTCTTGGTTTATGCAGCTTCAAGATTTAAGAAAACTTCTGAAAAATGTTTTTTTTTTTAAATGTTACAACATAATGTATCTTCAATTATATCTTGACAAACCATGTGCATAGACAATGGGCTATAGTAATCTCAGGTAAAAAGCTCTTTATACTTGAAAATGTTCACTAACCGTTCCATCATTCAGTGGAGAGCGTATGCATGTTACACTACATCCTGAGAGGATTTCAATAATCCAAGAAATAACTTCAGCTATTTGGAATGCTGTACTGATATTTTAGTAATAAAACTGCAGTTCTAAACTCATGTGCTTTCACTCATTGCATGTGTTTTCTGACTTGTGAAGAAAGAGAGCCAGTTTCAGGTTTTATATAGCATTACAAACAAGTATGCCAAAGTCTATTAGTTGTCCTCTTTCTTCTCTGACTCTACGGATAGGTTTATGCTGCACTGGGCAGATCTGCGTTAGCTCTAGCGTAGCAGGTGAGAACAAAGAAAATGGTGAAAAATGCAATTGTGTGTGTTTTAGGCAGGGCAAACCACTGTGAGGACGGAGGTGGAGGTCCTGATCCCTGGAGCGGCTGATGCCAGGCTGCGTGTCTCTGCTCATCACTTGACATGCCAGGTGAGAGTAGTCCAGGTGTGCCTAGGCTGCGCTGGGGTTTTTTTTTCTCCCCATATAACAATTTTAACTCTATTACTGAGGCCTTTCTGTGTTAAATTGGACTATCAGTGTTAGCATTACTGTAACTGGTCTAACAAGGACTGTTCATTGTGTTTTGAATAGCCTGTTAAAACTTTAGACTAAAAGTTTTTTCTCCATACATGAGTATGTATGCATCTTTATATACAGTCAGCACTTTACATATATAGATGCTGTGCTCTTCTTGTCCATAACTAGATTTTGTGTGTAACAGAATGGGCCTGTGACTTCACCTGCGTTTTTTTGGTATCATCTTGGTTTTTCGGTATCATCTTGTATCATCTGGCAGCTCTCCCTTTTTTCCTGCAAGGAGTCTAATCAGATGTATTTAATCCCCTACCCCTCTCTTTCATATCCCTTTGCAATCCTGTTACAGAGCTATTTTTTTGCCATAATTTTGCCACGGAGTCCATAATATTTCTGTCTGTCCCTGATACAATCAAATATTTGAAAGGATATGCAAGGAGGGTTTTTTGTACCTTCTTGAGAAACAGTGATAGTGAGAGATTTTCAGAGCATGGGAGAAAATAATAGTTCTTTTACGTACTAAAGCGAATGCAAGTGCTAACCGTATTTTTTACCTTTTGGGTATTTAATTATCCAAGCCTTTGATCATTTTCTCATCTTTTTAAATAAGTGTAATGATGCAGATGTTGCTTGTAGATCTTAGATTTCTAGGCTTGGTTTCCTGTGACTATAATTGGCTTGAGTTCATTTTTTTTCCCAAAAGTAAAGTTATTGTAAATAACCCTTTAAAATTTTAAATGCTACATTAAAAGTTATGCAGAAGACATGTTTTCTAAAGGACTTTAATCAGGTTTTTAACACTCAATGTTTAGAAATGAGTCTTACATTAAAAAAAAAGATTATTTGTGATGTTTATATTTGTGTACATGCGTAAATGGGTGTGTTATTACTTAATCAGTTCCCTGCTCTCTCTCTCATCAGCCAGCATTGTAGCTGTTATTCAGCCGGGACCCCTAGCTAGATCACGGGTACTTCAGAGATTTGTCACCGTCATTAATTCATCTACTCATAGGCAATATATGTGAAGAGCAGAAAAGCTGACATTCCTCTGAAATCCAGGTCTGTCTCAGCAACATCCTCTCCTATCCCTTACTGCCTGCTTCTGTCAGCTTTAGTTGGAGATGCAGGTTTCAGTATTTAACTCGACCGCGTGTACTGTCAAACACAAATGATAAAAACGTTGTGAGGGTGCGCTGCTACAAAGGCAGCCCATGTTTTTTAAAAAAGTCTCAGATTTAAATACCTGTAGCAGTAATTTCATGATGTAATAAAGATAAAAATAAATTATCTGATGCGATGTTACAGTATTTGGACTATTTTATTTCTTTGGATGAGGATTCGTCTGGAAAGTCTAGTGCTGTTCTGTTGCATTGTGTGGTGCTCGCCTGGACCCGTCTTCTTCTGGCCTGGCGTGTTTTGGGTGTGCAGTGCGGGGACCCCTGCGTTGTCCTCGCCAGGCGGAGCCACGCGCTGGCTTGGGAGTCCCAGGCTGCCGCATCCTCCTTCCCCCCCCCAGTTTGCGTCTTTAAACTCCCCTGACCCAACCAAGGTTGTAATCTGTATGTATTTTTCCCTTGGATATCTGTCAGATACTGTCGTAAATTTTGAAAACCCATTTCAAAGCGGTCACCCAAAGAGAGTAGCAGGCAGAAAGGAGAGAAGACATTTCTTTTGCCTAAACCCTGCCCTGTCTCTGCAGCATCTGCTGGGGGGCCTCCAGCAAGCCTGTCGGCCCGGTCCCCGGCTCGGCGTCTGCCTCAGCTGCTGCCCCTCGCTTGGCTCGGCTTCCCCAGCCCCGCGTCTTTCGTAGCTGAGACCGCCCTGAGCCTGGGATCAGGAAAAGAAGCGTTACCTTACTGCGCTCAGGCAGGAGCGCGCTGGGGGATTAGTCGATGTTTTGTTACTTCTTGAAAAACCTTCTCCCAGTTGCGTTCTTTATGTTGTGTGTGTTTGGTTTTTTTTTTAAATTTCTTGCAGCAAAGCAAAAATATTAAACACATTATAAACTCATGTTAACGTAGCAGTGAAACAAAGTACAGCGCACTCCTTTTTGCAGAAGGAATATCTGACCACAGATCGTGACAGACATTAGGGGAAGAGAGCCGGAATCGTTTAGTAAGATGCCTTTAAGTAGGAATGAAGTGCGTTTATCCCAATGAGATTTTTAAGGCATTGATTTGATGCAGCTTACAAGAAGATTCTTAATGAAATATTTAATTTGGGAATTCAAGGAAAAATATTGTTTTTCCTTTAATTCTGAGACGCTCTGAAATGGATTTTTGTGTCCAGAAAGACTAAAGTGAAAATGTGCTATAATGCGTGTACTTTTTCACTTTGCAAATTTGTGCTGTACTAGAGATCAATGAAATGTGCCTGCTTCTTCACTGTGAAGTTAACAGTAATTAAGGTTTGATGGGCAATATATGCTAAGCTGTGTTCCTAAAAATGACATTTTGAAAACTTTTTCCAGGATGAAAGATGGGTCAAATAAAAATTCAATATTAAGCAAGGTAGATTAGTAGGAATGTCTGGAACTCGTACCTAAACTATGTCATTAGTTTACTCAAATGAGCAGTGACAGCTTTAATTTTAAATAGAATTTATTTTCTGGCATTGTTAATATTTAGTGTCATTTATGTAGAATATCTTGAATTTTTGAATTGGCAGTAGCCATTTTTATCTTCAGTTCAAAGCCATGTGGAGATAATGAAAGAGTCAAAGAAACTGAAATATCAGTGACGGTCTAGATAGTTTTCCCAGGTATTTCTATGTAATGCTAACCTGGGGACTTTTTATCTAGGAGGAACATAAAATAATAGTGCTTCTCAACCCTATACCTTCAAAGGTATTAGGGCTTCTTCCACTCTACAGGGCTACAGTATCGTTAGACAAGAGTCAACGCGCTGCTGCGCTATATCCTGTTGTTGCTGTGAAGGCTGGAAAAACCTGACCACTATTGGAGCAGGTAGTAATTGAGAACAGCTGTAACGTACTGAAGTAGACATGGGTTTTTATACAGTGTTTTTTTCAGAATTAGAGTTGCTTCTCTAAGAATAAAATCATGAATTATTAGGCTGAAGATGAGCTATTTTTGCAAATAAGTAGGATTCTTATCTATTTGCTGTGTTTCCACTCCTCTTAGTGAGTAAAAAAAATTAATACATTTCATCTCATTCATTCATTATGTTACTCGACTGTAAATAGCAGTTGCTGTAATAGTTGAGGCAAGTGAAAGGGGCTGTGGTTGTAACTGCTGTTAAGCCTGCAGCATGCTGAGATATGAGCAGGCAGGTCCACCACCGAGTCTCCTCTCTGGAAGTCTGATCCCAAAGCACTTGCTTTCAGGTATGGAAGGGAAAAATAATCCCTGTATTTCTGTCCTCTGCGCAGGACCCCCTGCCCTGGTCCCCCAGCCCCTGCCACAAACACAGTGGCAGGTTTTCCAGAGTGGTCAGGCTCTTGGGGGAAAGCACACACGAGAAAGGTGCTGCAATTTTTGGTCTGAGGGCCTGCTGGAGAGGCTCAACCTCCTGTGAGGGCTGGGTCGAAACCCTTGGTGATCTAAGCTGCCTCTTTGCCTCTTGGAGGCAGGAACGGGCACTTCTTGGGTGGTGAACGTCCAGGTCTCCTTCACCTTCGTGCACGTGTCTGTAGCTCCTCCCTGCCGCACGCTGCCTGGCTTTTCTGGCACCCAGAGCGGTGGCTGTGGTGGACGGAGTCCTCTTGGACCAGAGAGAGGGAACATGTGCCCTAGGTGCTTGGTTTTCTTATCTGGGCACCTTATCCTGTACCAGTTTTTCAATGCTAGTATAAATGTAAAGAGCAGGAAGGATCTCTTGTTTGCATTGATCTGAATCCTGCTGACCTGATATAGCATGTAATCTGACTGTTTGGTAATTTATTTCTAATCAGTGCAACACTGCAGATCAATAGGCCTGTGGGATGTCAGCACTGGAGCTAACTTAAACACCTTGCTGGAGCTAGAAGGAGCCACCATTTTAATTTCTACCTTAACCAACCATTGTACTTTCCTTCTCCTTAAAGTAAACCTGACTTCTCATGTTGATCTTTTTTTCAGATGAATAACGATTGTGTGAATTAGAACAATGTAGTTATTTTAAGTAATTTCAGGTAGAGAAACATAATACTTCCATAAATAGCTTTTGTAGGATCCCAGCAACAGCAGCTAGGTTAAACAATCTAACAGTCATAGAACAGAAAAATTACATATTCTGTTACAACAACTTCTTCTGAAGTTGCTCTTCTATTTTCACTGCAACATTCATCTTTTTTATTTTCTGTGTGGTGCAGAAGGCAAATAGTTCCCTTCAGCTGAGTAGCTTGTCTTTTGTGTCCTTTAGGACAACGTTCCTCACTAACTGCGTTTGTTTGAATATTGTCCTTGTGATCTGTTACTTGTTGTACCAGATCTCTAAAATGTGTAATTTAAAAAATAAACAACAGACCTAAAGCCATTCTTGTGAAGTAACAGGAGTACTGTATCAGTATCAGTCAGTAACACAGAAGTATAATATTTTAAAATGGAATAAATTATAAACTTTCCAGTATGTTGATCAAATCTTATCAATATGACTGTTCCCAAATAGGTTTCTTTAGTCAGTTCAGTGGTGTTGCTATGGGCAGTCAGTTTATACAGGTGTAGAATGAGCAAAAATTCCCTATTTTGCGCTCTGAATAGGTTCATTTTAGTATATAAGGTAGAAAGTAATAGATTTAGGAATGCAACGTTTTGCTGCCAAACAATAGCGATCGCAACTTATGCTATTGTTTTGCCTGTCCAGTGGTAGATACAGTACTAAAATTCTCATGAAAAGTTCCACTAAAGATTA